GTGATCGTGGGACAAGAATATACCTTTCTAAATTGTGCCCCAGTGACCTGCCCTGTCTGACCAGACTCCATCCATAAATCTGAGGCTTTGGGGGACATTTTCGATCTAAAACACAATATCCAGATTTCCAACACACTCTTTACACAAGAAAACCTGATCCCCAGACCTAGCTGACCAAGCAAGGTCAATTACATCTTCTCTGTGGAATTGGACCAATAAGATAAAAATTTAATCACTTAAATGGAGGTAGGCATTGAATTCCAAATGCTGATATGACCTTAGAGTTGGTGACCATTCCCAACCCCATACACATGGTTCCAATAATAGAAAGAACAGCTTAAGGAAAGTTGTAGAATGTAGCAGCATAGAGTGAAATAATCAAGACACTATGTGACCATAGAGATTGTAGCTATCTGATGTATTCTCAGGAGGCCTGATTATATTTCCATTTTCCTGTTCTCTTGAGTCCTTTCTGGATTTCTAATGATCTCCTGTGCCCTTCTAATCAGCTCATTACTTGAGCTAATTGGAATAGTGGTTGTGATAGGGGTTTGTTTTGCTTTATGTTTTTACTTTCTACCTGAATAGCCAGGAAAATGTAATAAGTCAATCATGTGGCATCTCAATGGATTATGTTAGTTTCTTAATCTGTTGCCCATGATAGAAACCCTAGAATGGCAGTCAAGTGACCCAGGTATAGAAGATAAAACTGGCCAGAAGAAATCCTTTAGATCTTCTGGACTAATAGATAAAGCTGGTTAGTTTATGGAGAAGCAATGAGGTAAGAAATCATTTTTTAAAGATATGTTTTAAACATTTCATGAATTGTGCTGGGGATTTAGCTCAGCGGCATTAAGTGCCTGCCTTGCAAGCAGGTAGTCGTGGGTTCCACCCCTGGTACTGATAAAAAGGAAAAAGACAAAAAAAAAAAAAAAAAAAAGAATTACAAACATTTCATGAATTTAAAACACCTACTGCTAGGAGCTTAGTTCAGTGGTGTAAGCCCTTGCTTAGCAAGTGTGAGGTCATGAATTCAATCCCCATAAAAAAAAAAAAAAGAATTTAAAACACCTAAACTTATATTTGTGCAACAAACTTTGTAATAAAAGCCAAGTCCTTTATTTTTCAGTAGTACATTTAACATGGTTCATAAAAATTTTTTATTACATCATTCATACATGAGACAACTGTGAGTTCCCATTCTGATTCATCTAAATTGTATTGACAAATCAAAGATTTATCAAATTAAAAGTACAAGTTTTATCCAAATTTTTATATTTACCAATCTTTTATTATTTATTCATTGGCAACAAATTTTGACAGTAATTTTTAAGTAATTTACTGAATCTTTTAAACCATGTAACTCATTTTTGTACAAATAAGTTACACATAGTTAAATTTGTAAGTTTTAAGTGAACAACTCAATGAATTTGGACATTAATTCCTACGATCAAGGTACAGAACATTTGCTTCACTCTCCAAATTTTCCTTGTGTCTGTCTTTTTTCTGTTAACAATTTTTAAATTGTTTACTTATTTCATTTCTTTTTTTAATTTTTTAAATTAAATGTTTTTTAATTTTTATTTAGTATGTTTGTAATATATAATGAATACAATCTTTATGGGAGATGCCACATATACATAATGAATCTTAATTCTTTTTATTTTCCCTTCTCCTTCCCTTTCTCCATTCTCTCTCCACTTCTATATCCCTTTCCCATTCGACAAAGATCTATATTTTTGTTTCCTATAATCAATCTTTTTGCTTTAAATTATTTATTCTTTGGGTTTCCTATATAAGGGAAATCATGTGACATTTAACTTTTTGTGTCTGATTTATTTTACTTAGCATTATGGTCTCAATGGTGCATCCATTTTCTTACAGAAGACTCCAAGGTATCCTTCTTTATGGCAGAGTAGTACTCTAGTGTGTATATTTACATTTTCTTTATTCATTCACTTGTTGATGGAGATACATGGTGCTTCCAATATTTATCTATTATTAATTGTATTCTATAATCACTGATATACATGTATCACTGTAATATCATATCTTTCAATGTTTTAAGAAAATACCTTTGAAGGGGTATACCTTTGACATTTGAGTCAAATGGAATATCTATTTTTCACGTTTTGAGAACTTTCCATACTGACTATATATGTTATGGCTGACTAGGAAAACAGATTTCATATAAAATATATTTACATATGATATATAAAGGATTTACAAAGTAGGTTTAGGGTTACAGTGCTGCCTGCAGAAAGGTGGTTGGAAGAATGCAAAGTGGCTGTGTGTATGCTGTAGAGCCAGAGGATCCAGTAAAAAGTCGAAGGCCTGAGGCTCACTGCAGAACCTGGTGTGAGAATCTGGTCAGAAAGCAGCCCTCTGCACTGAAGGCTGAAGAGCGCACTGGAAACCTGAAGGAACAAGAGAAGACATCCAAAGGCAACAGCAAAGACAGAGCTCCTCTGAAAAGGTGATAGGGAAGACTTTCTTTTTCTTGTGCTTTGCATTCCTTCTAGGCTACAAGCATATTAATCACTAGGTGCCCCTCACATCTAGAGTGGGTCTTCCATACTTAGTTTGTGGTTTACATATCAATCATCTACAGATACACCCACTAATCCACGAGGCATTTCGTAATACATTTAAGTTGACTTCACAATTGACCATCACACTGATTTCCACAGTAGTTGTACTACTGTACAGGCCCACCAACAGTGTAGATGGGTTCTCTTTTTCCTACAACCCTGCCAGAATTTGTTGCTGTTTGAGTTTTTGATGACAGCCATCCTTTGTGGAGAGGATGGAATCACAGTGTTGTTTTGAACTGCATTTTGCATTTCTCTAATGGCCAGTGATGCTGAACATTTCTTCATATAATTATTGGTCATTTGTACTTCTTCTGAGAGGTGTCTATTCATTTCTTTTGCCAGGTTTTTGACTGGATTTTTGTTTTGGGAGATTGCATCCTTTTAGAGTCAACCTCTTTCCCACCACTCAGTCTGTGGGATTATCTGTTTATTCTTTGTCTCTCTTCCTCTTGTTTTTGGGGTGTGTGTGTGTGTGTGTGTGTGTGTGTGTGTGTGTGTGAGTGAGTTGCTAGAGATCAAACCCAGAGCCTCACACATGCTAGAAAAACTCTTTACCACTAATCTCTACCCTAATCCTACTGGTTTGTTCTCTATCACTTTAGTTTTGTCTTTTCTAGACTTTTCTATAAATGGAAGAATATAATATATAGTGTTTTACACTACAGTTTTTTCACCTGGCGTACTGCTCTTGAGAGTTATTGATATTACATGAGTCAGTAATTCATTACTTTTTGTTGCTATTATTTCAGTATATGGATTCAGAATAATTCTTTTATATACTGTACTGACTTATGATGAATGTCTGGATTGTTCTCAGCTTAGGGTTATTATGAATGAAGCCACTATGAATATTAATGAATAAATTCTTTTACGGACCTATGTATTTATTTATATTCTTAAAAGTAAAATGGGCAGATTGTATGGTAGATTTTGTTTATCTTTTAAGCAGCTGTCAAAACATTTTTCAAGGTTAATTGCACTGTTTTCTATTCTCATCAGCAGTGACTAAAATAGTTCAAGTTGCTCCATAGTCTTACTGATATTTGCCAATGGCAACTTTTTATTTTAGTTGTTCTACTGAAAGTGTGGTGAATAGTTGGGGGTTTAGCTCAGTGGTGTAAGCCCCTGCCTGAAGGTATGGTGATTTGTGCATGTTTTAATTTGCATTTCCCAAAAGACTAACATTATGCATCTTTTCATATATTATATATCTTCTTTCTGGGACTGTTATTCTTTTCTACAATAAACTTTCCATTTAAAGCTTCTGCCTGAAAATTCATGATTTTGCTTCAGTTTTAATTTCCATTATCACTGAAGCAAGAACCCACACTAGCCAGGGACCACATACTGAAGCTCAAAATGAGACTTCTCTAAGCCTTGCTGCAAAATTCACATGGACTCCCAGATTTAATCAGTCATGCATGTTACTGTGTACAACAAACAAGTGAGTCCTTGGGCATGGATGGCAGCCCTGTAATAAATTCCCCAGTCTATTTTTTTACTTTCCCTCACGTCTATCTTGAATATCCTGGTTTGTCAGGGCTAATTTAATGTATGAAATCTGATCAATCTTGTAATTATGACTTCTGGGAATTAAAACTAATCAGGACTTGCATAATAGGGCCCTGTAGGTTTGTCTCAGTTAGATTTGCAGAGGTGTTGGTTCTCTCTCTCCAAAGCCCTGGATTGGGGTCAGACTTGGGGCTGTGTGCTGGATTCAAGCCTCTTGGACTTTTTTGTATTGGCTGCTGCCTTAGACCAAAAGCAATTGCTGTGTGTGATCTGCGCTGTTCTCTTTTCCTCCTTTCTCTTTTTTTTTCTCCAACTCTGCCTGCTCCTTTTGACTTTTCAGAGAAATTAAGATATATGAGTAAATGTCCATTTATTCACTGAAGGATAAATAAAAAAGGAATTGTTTCTATGTTAAATACTTGGAGAAATTCTGGTTGTTGTGTCTGAAAGTGCACTCTGAGTTTATATAATTTTTATATGTTTTATACATGCTTATGTTGGTTATTCTGGTGGTTAATCTATGTTTATTACAATTAGTTTAGTAAATATTTTTTTGAAGCACATTATGGCTGGCAACAACTGAAAACTTGCTTCAAATTCACCAGAGGGGAACTGCCCCCAAATTGCTAAGTAACTTTAGAAAAGGAATCTGCAGTTGCTTCATTTTCTATTTTTTAACTCATCCTATGTTTTTATAAAATTTTTCTTCCTTTTAGTTCTGTGTACACATAACTCTTAGACTGTAATCGTAAAGTTAAATAGAGACTTTCAGCTATTTTTTCTCCTGTTGTTTTAACAGGGAATGGCAGATATTCCAGGTTTAACTTGGTACTAAAAAAAGACAAGTGAAGGAGGGAATTTTCTCCTGGTGGGCCAATGAGGGCCGTAGGACTACTGGACAAATCTCCTTGTGCGGGTGAAAAATATGCAGCTGCCCAAGTCAGTTTCTTCAGTTATCTCCATGACTGGTGAATGCCCCAGCTTTCCCCATTGGACCGACAGTGTTGTTTTCCTCACACCCAAAATACTTCCCATTTCCTCCCACTGCTTTCATTGGGGAAAAGGAAACGCATTTGAGAGAAGGATCAACAGATCCAACAGGGTAAGTCTTGCAGATGTGCGTGTCAGAAACTTCAGTGTCTTGGGGGCTTGAACACAGTGAGGTGATTTGGCATGAGACAAAGTCAAAGGACCATATTCTCAGCTTTTCCTTTGGGAAAAATTGGTTTTTAGAAAATGTACTGCTTGGTTTTGGTTCCTTTGTTTTGTTTTGGTTTCCTTAAAAACCGAAAGTGGGCAACTTGATCCTACTATCTTCCAAGAATCCACTGAAACACATATTGGCTGACTAATTAACTTCTAGCTATAAATATATAACTAATAAAAGGTGATTTTCTTTTGTAATACTGCATAGTTATGACATCCTTTGGAATTAAAATGATGATCTCAAAATGAGTCCTGGGAGGTGCATTTTACAAAATTTGAAACTCTCCATGGAATTCTTAAAAACAGTTTTTGTAAGGATACTGTCACTCCATATTTTGGTATAGATAGCTCTTGCATCTTTAAATTCACTTTTGGATCCTATGTTTTAAATTAATATTTTGTATTTGGCATGCCAAGTTTAACATTTTTTGGTAAACAACTTAAAATAATTCTTAACCTATGATTGCAGAGTTAACTTCTCCTTCTACAGCCATCTGCTTATTCTGTGATAATTTGGGAATACAAATTTACTTAAAAGTCTGTTATTTTAGCGAGTTCTAATTGAATGGTAATATCTGTGTATTAACTGTTACTCTGAGACTAAAAAGGGGGAAGAACATTTAAAATTTCAAGTAGCTATAAAGGCTATATGGAATTTATGAATGAACATGTTAAAGATAGCCATAAAAATAAGTGATTTAAATTGATTTCATCTTGCCCTAAATGTAATTTAAATTTCTCTTTATAAATTAACAAATTCGTTTTATCATATTATTTTGTCTCAAATTTTCAATTTTAACAAAAAAGCTACATAAATCTGGTTTGTGTCTGTTCTAAGTATAGCTATTTGACTTTAGGATTTTGCTTTGACCAAAAAAATCTTTAAATGATGACTATATCTGATATCTGTCATCAGTAATTTAAAAATAAGTTTTAAAAGTAAATTCAGTAGATATAACTGAGATAAATGTTCCTAAACATTTATAATAAAACATCTGGGTTAAAAACTAAATATAAGCATTATTAGCTACTTAAATTTAATGAAAAGATAATACATTTGAGTATTAAATGTGTTTTCATAAATTGTTGATGCAAAATAAGTTTAAGATTTTTATTATCTGAGTCTTCACTACATATAAGATTATTAAAAGTTAAAATTCTAGGCTGGGTGTAGTGGCATATGCCTGTAATTCCAGCACTTGGGAGGCAGAGGCAGGAAGACTGCTGTGAATTCAAGGCCACATAGTGAATTCAAGGCCAGCCTGAATTATATAGCAAGACTCTGTCTCAAAAAACAAGAAAAAAAGTCAACATGCTAATATATAATTCTACATGTCAAGCAGGAAAACTTTAAGCTGTGTCTTGACTTTTATCTTATTTAGAAACTTGATTGAATTGCCCAAATTCAGAAGCATCAAGAATTGTTTTAAAGTGTAAGTGTAAAGAATATTAACACACATGACAAAACCAGTATATGGGAGACAGGGAACTATAAACAGGTTATTGGTAGAAAGATATTTATAATAAGAAAGATTATAGGAAAAGAAAATGCTTTAGGATGAAAAAGAATTTTGTATAGTAAAATAATATTTTATCCTAAATGACTGATTGTTTCAGAATGTAAAAAAAGTGAAAACAAGGAAGCAAACAGTTTGTAGAGATTCTGAATAAGTGACAGAGCCTTTATAAAATACAATTTTCATATGTGATGATGTTAGCTCTAACTTAAAAGGTTATTTAGTAGCTTCCTAAGACCAAAGGAGACTCCACTGACATGAAATAAAATCTATTTTCTATGCTGAAAGCAACAAGCTTTTCTTAAAATATTGGTCTGCTTTTAATAATATTTATAAAGAAATGGTTTAAAAAGAAAAAAATGTGTTTGTTAGATATTTAATTTTTTAACAAAATGAGTCTTAACAGAGTCAGGGTTTAAGTAGTCTGTATGTTGTGAAGTCTTAGATAAACACTATATAATTCTGGTTAAATCTGATTATGACTGATTAAATAAGCAACTGTTGTGCTAAGTTATTATAGTATATTTGACACTCGGTAGACTTGTGACTAGATATGTGTGTAGTTCTGAGGACTAAAATTGTCACATAACTAAGATATTTGCCTTAATGTTTTGCAAGACTTGTAAAACTAAAAGAACTTTGATACAAGCAAGGTAACCAATAAGTTCTCTCTTTTATACAATATGCATTGGACTTGTGAGTATATAAAATGATTGATAAAACATTTGACAGTTTTTCTTTTTGTTATAAGGTACTATACAAATAGATTGTATGGGTTAAGATTAAAATGAGTCCAATCGTTTGAACAGTCTATTATTTAAAACTTGGTCTACATCAGTTGGTTTTTGACTAAATAGCATTTTGTTATTGCATAAGTTAGTTACACTTGAACATTATGTAATCAACCTATTTGTGGTCTCCATGCCATTTTCTAAACTTTTGAGATGTCTAACATTGTATTTTATTTTGATTTTTGTTAGCACTGTTAAACTCTATATTCTACTTCAAAAGTAAAACCTAAGTTAATACATAAAGGACTTTAATTATGTATGTGGAATTCTAATTATTACTGATTTGCTTGTATATTAATTACATTTATTTTCCAAATTTACCAATTTCCTAAAATACAAAGTTTGGGAGAACAATTTACCATGCTGGTATCTTCTAAACAGAAATTATTTGTCATGATAGATTGTTGCAGGTCTGTGTTTGTTCCTTATTAAATCATGACTATCTTTAAACAGAAGTACTTAGATGTACCAGACAATTTGTATTTCAGATAGAGTCACCTTAATAATAAAAGAATTAGGCATTGGTCACCTAAGGAACATATCCTGGAACTCTTAATATCATATACTTAGTGAAAAGTAAACTATTAGCTGTAAATTATATAAAAATTATTTTATTCCTTATAGTTAAAGGCCAAATACATTTTCAGAAAGATAGTAAAAAAGTTTGATGATCCTGGTCTAATTCTCTTAATCACAATAGTTATCCTAAAATGCTGTATACAATACAATAATTGTTTTGTCAGTTGCTAAGCTTATCTCAAAGTTTCTTATTATAATTTTTATTGTTATTTTATTAAATAAATTTTTTATTAGTATACATGTGCAGTATATTCAGCTTACAATCACCTTCGGGAGTAAGTACATGTCTGCAGCACAGTTTGTTTCTTTTTAAATTCTCTCTCCCTTCCCCTTCCCCCACAAATTTTCTTCCCCATTTATTCTTGTTGATATTAATCCTGGCTCATTTTGTGACACATAATGTTTACATTCACAGAGACTATTTGGTTCCTGTAAATGACATGTTTTAATTCTACTTCTTTCCCCTTCTACTTCTTCTCTTCCCTCCCCCTGGTTCTTCTAGAACTTTTCCCATTTCTAAGAGGTTTATCCTCTTATGTCATTTTATCTCTCCTTTACTGTGCTCTTGGTTTGTACTTTGCCTTATTCAAATGAGACAAACTTTGTAGTATTTTAGCTCCTATATCTGATTTAACTCACTAAAGATTATATTTTCTAGCTGCATGTATTTTCTTACTCCAAGGCAGCATGGCATGGCACAAAGGCATGGAACAGGAGAATCAGTCCATGGTCCAACAGGCAGCAAGCAGAAAGCAAATAGCAGTGAGCCCGCTTTTCCCTTTAATCCCATCCAGGTTACAAGTCTTTTCAGTATTGTCACCCACACTCAGTAAATTCATTTGACCACAACCAAAACTATGCTAATTCTAATCAATGAACTAATTTAGTATCACCATCATTAATCCAAGTATCACACACTTTAGATCTAGTAAGCTAGGAAAAGCCCCACTATGAGTGCATGAAGCTTTGGGGGAACATCTAGACAGAATCCATAACACCACTATTAAAAGAAAGGGGATTACTGTCCTTTGATCTCACTATATTTCAAGGTGTCCTCAATATCTTAAACACTGCCATATTTAAAACACACTTCAGAACTTGTAGAACTGGTCTTCTGCATGTGCAAGGACTGAGACTTGGAAACCAAAGCTAAAAAAGATAAACGGGCTAAAAGCCAATATTTTATCCTTTGCTCTCCAAGGTCATCCAGGACACAGGAAACAACAGGATCCTCCTTAAATGGGCTCTACAACTCTGGTGAGTTTCCCAACCTCCTATTCAGGTAGGTGATGAAGACCTTAGAGACAAGGACTAGAGACCACACAACTAATGTATTCTGCAAATAGGAAGGTCTCTGGAAAAGGAGAATATCACCAAAGCTTTCAAAGGAAGCCAAATGGTTAAGAACCTGATCTGTTCTACCAGGTGATATAACCAGTGAAGGAAAAAACCCACAGGAGCCTCACTGACCTTAATGAGAAAAGAATAGGTTGATTTTTGATGGATATCATATATTCAATCTTAAACATCTAGCAAAAAAATGAAACTAAATTATGGAATAATTAATGGTAATGCAAAGCAGAAAAAAGGAAAGGTAGCGTTCTTAGAGCCTTCAGTAAAGAAAAGAAACCAAAGATCTAGGTCGTGTCTTAAAAGGGGAACCAGAAATATATCAACTGGTTGTAGGATTTACTCAAAAAAAAAAAGCATAACTGGCCTTAAAACATTAAAAAAATAAGAAAGATCTGATGAGTTCCAGCAGCCTCCAACCACACTTCACCTTTGCCATCTTGACCTGCAAAAATATAATTTGAGCTGATGTAGGCCAAGTCTTCCTGTGCTTTCAGTGCTCAAGTATCGTTGTTTTAATAGGACTTCTAAAATGATATGCTTCCAGCATGAGACACAGCAATCCTCTTTCCTCATGTAGCTCCCATGTAGCTAAGATTATAGGTTTGCACCATCATACCTGGCCCCACTTCTTGTAGTGTCCAGCTCAACAATCTTTCCTATTTTGGAGTGCATACTTTGGTTGCCCAGGTAACTCAAGAGAAAGAAATTACCTTTATAGCTTTCGAAAGTAAGGTTGGAAATCATGATTGAATAGGTAGGAACCCAGAGGAAATCAATCAGGTGTGAGTGCACTGCCCAATATGTGCAAATGAGAGTGATTGTTTCCTAACAAAAAAGCCATTGTCTCCTCTGTCTTGCTAACAAAATCCTGATTTTGTACAATATCAATGTACCCAACATACTCAACACTAGTAGAGCTGCAAGGAGTGTACAGCTGCAGAAACTCAGTGATCGATACCTCAAGAAATTCTGGTCCTGAGACATTTCTCTGAGTTGCCACTTCTTGGTTAGTTGATCTTTGTTGCAGCCGAAAAATGTTGACAAGTAAATGAGAGTATGTGACATCCTAGATAGGTCCTAATTTGCTTTGGTTTTTTTAAAGTTTGATTCATGAATATCCTCTCCAGGTTAATTTACATTTATAATTTTCAAAGGTGGGCACTTTCTCAAATCATCCTGGAAGACAATAGCAGCCTTTATCAATTTTAATATCAGAATATAATTTCTTTGATTTCCTTAACCAGAGTTTCTCTCTGTGAGGATGCGTTTGGAATATTGCTTTATCTCAACTTTGAAATATTTTAAATGTTTGATGATGATGAATTATTCAAGAAAATCTTATTAAATATGATTTAATTAAACTAGAAGTCTAATTCTATGATTTCTTTATATGCAATCTTAGAAATACAATCATTTTGACTTATTAATGTAGACAGCCTTAAGAAAATCAATTTTATTATTAAATAACCCGCTTAGTTTATTGTCTACATGGATATATTTTATTATCAGTGTCTTTAAATTTCCTTTAGAAACAAAATTTCAAACATCAAACTATAAAATCCAGGGCACATATTTGTTTAACCTACAATGTAATAATCAGTAAGTGAAAAATAAATAACAGTTTAAAACGCTGTTCCAAATAGATTTGAGAAGACATAAAAATACTGTGAAAATAATAATAAAAAGGAAATATCCATAACATTTTTAGGCATGACTAAAATAAGAATTAGCAATAATAAGAAGCAGGAAACATGAAAACCATTTACCATGGAATATAATTTTACAGAAGCAGATACTAGAGCTCTGAAAGGTTGAACAATTCATTTGGATTACAGTTTTTATCTTTGGCAGAAGACTATTTCTAGATTTTCTAGGTTTCAGTCCACACCATTATTTTTTTATTTTAAAGAGAAAAAAACTGAAGTAACAATAAAACAGAGTTTCAAAACATGTTAGTAGGAGAGTTACAGTAATTAATATCTTGCCTATAGTTATCTTCATAATAGTTATTCAGAGTACAGGATATAGGCATGTATCTTGTCCAAACAATATTAGCACAAACCTTTCTTTTCAGTGAACTAGGAGAAACTAGCTGTATAACTAGCTTAATTGTGTTGATATAAATATATTTTTTTCTTTTTCCCTTTCTTTTCACCTTCTCCCATCTTTTCTTTTGCAAAGTTTCTTCCCATTTCACAATATTCATTGTACATTTTGTACCCCATTCACTCTTTCAGTTTCTCACACTAGAGACACAATATGATGTTTACATATAGAAGTCTGATTTATTTCACTTATGAGTATGGTCTTTAGTAGCATCCATTTACCTATAAAAGTCTCCAGTACATCCTTCTATATGGCTGAGTTGTATGAAAAGGCCACATCTTTTTTACTCCTTGGTTGATGGGCATTTGGGTTGATTCTAAGATTTAGCTGTTATAAATTGTGCTGCTATAAACATGTGAACACATATATTGTTATGGTATCATGTTTTTAATTTTTCTGGGAAGATACCCAGAAGGGTAATAGCTGGGTCAAATGGGATCTCTAAATCTAGTTTAATGAGGATTCTCCACACTATTTACACAGTGTGTCAGTCTACACTTCCACCAACAGTAGAGAAGAGTTCCTTTTCCCCTACAGCCCCACCAATACTTGTTATTGGTTTTTTTTTTTTTTTATGATAGCTATTCTTTCTGGGGTGAGGTGGAATCTCAATGTTGTTTTAATTTTCATTTCTCAATGACCAATGATATTGAACTTTTTTTATGTATTTATTCGCCATTTGTGTGTCTTCATCTGAGACGTGTATATTCATCTCAGGTGCCCATTTTGCACTGGTTCTTTGAATTTGGGGGTTCTGATTTTTTAAATTTCTTATATGTTCTAGACATAAGTCCTTTGTCTGAGGGACAGTTGATTACAATTTTTTCCCACTCTATGGATCATTTTTTCACTCGCTTGGTGATTTCTTTTGTTGTGTAAAAGCTTTTTAATAAGGTGAGATCCCATTTGTTCCTTCTTTGTAATATTTCCCTTGTAGGTTGGGTTTTGTTCATTAAGTCTCTGCCTGCATCTATGTCTTCAAGATTTCTACCTATTTCATCTTCCAACAAATTTAATGTTTGTTTTAATATCTAGATCTTTGACCCATTTTGACTTTAGTTAAGTGCATGGCAGCACACATTTTGGCCAACTTTATTATGGATATCAGTGAGCAGGCTAACTCATAATTATTATTATCATTAAGGTGACCAAAATAATTAGGGAGGTCAGTCCTTCCATTTGATTCACTGCTGCTGGATTAACCACCATTTTGTCATGTCTGTCCTGGTTGGTAGGCTTTGTTGCATGAGCATAAATGTACGTCAACCTTTCCAGTTTTCCAATTCAATACTCAGGGAAATACTTAATCTAGTACATAGAGTTGTATAAATTAATTAAAGAATGAGGAAATACCCCATTTTAAAGCACCTCACAGATGACAAAGTACTTCTCATATGTAATAATGAAATATTCTCCTTGTGAATAAATGAATCCAGACTAGACACCAGTTCTTATCCAAATACACTGAACTTTTCATATTTCACATTTTTGTAAAGCTGTTAAGATATTCCTGATGTTCTGCTATCATGAACACAATTAAAATTAGTGAAGACCAAAAGTTGTTCTAGTCCTTTACTGTTTCTATACTTTTAAAAACCCAACCAGAAGTAGGAAGGATTAAACATTTACATTACTAATTCATAAAAACATGTACTGAGTACTTGTTATGCACTGTACATTATTAGGTTTGAGAGGATGATATTATTGCTGAGAGTTGTTTATGAATTATAAACACTAATGTAGAGTGTTACGATTTTAAGAGAAAACTAATGGATTAGTTAGAGCCTTTAAGCTCCTGTAGCTGCTCCTTTTTGAGCTGTCCTTTGCAAAATTATATTCTTCCCTTTACCATTTGCAAGGTTATATCCCCTCCCTTTCTCCAGCATTCCAAATTCTAAAGAAAAGTTGCTTATGAATTAAGATATAAACTACTACATAATCTTTCTTCAGATTTACAGAACTCAGAATGTCTGTTGACCTTCAAATAATATTACATTGTACAACATTCCCTCCTTATTCTTTAGATCTGTGCATCAACTAACACACAGTAATTGAAGTGCTAAGAGGTTTAACTTATAGAAACATTGTATGTCCATCTAGAAAACAAGAACCAGCCCCCAGGAAGCCAAGGCTGATTGTCATAACCTGAAGAAATAACAAGAAGCAAAAAAGAGAGACATACTCTGGATGCCCAACCCAGAGCTCAGTACATAACCCTGCTCCTCTTTTCCCTCCTACACAAGCCTTTTGTGCTTTTGAGTTCTGTAAGATGGGGACTTGAGAACAAAAGCCTTTAACTTTTTAAGACGTCTCCTCTGTCAACAACTCTTGTCCCCTAAGTATTGGTTTTTGAGTGTGAACAGCACAGACCTAGGTCCAACACTACCTGGAAAACACTAGACTGGCTTTTTAAAAATTTTTTATTTCTGACACTATATTGAAGTCCAAATTAATAACTCAAAAAATGTGGCCCAAGGGCATAGCTCAGTATTAGAAAATACTTGTCTTTTATGCATAAGATAGTGGGTTTGAGTCTCAGTCACACAATAAATAAATAATATAAAAAGAAAAATTTTTAATAAATCTTTTCTATCATCTACTTCTACACCTACCTCCTTAAGAAAATATAGAAGAGGTTAATTGACCTGTCAAACATCATTCCACCAGTTAGTGCCTGGTAAAAGTCCCAATAACTGTTTTTGACAAGGTTAAAGTGTCAAGACATAATAAGAGATCTTGGTATTATAACTTTTAATGAGAAATACTCTGTTAGGGTCAGAGATACAACTCAGCAGTGG